TTTTTTTTTTTTTTTTTTTGCTGTTCATCATTACCGTCTGCGGCTTATTTGACAAATGATATATGCATTTTACACTAAATCTTAAAACTTTTGCAATTTCACCCTCATCAAACTGGCAAGAGAATGCTCAGTGCTTGCAGATGAGGTAAGTAATCATCTAGATGCAAGTACACTGCCTGATAAGTATCAAATACCCAACATGCCCATCTGGCTACATGTTAGCAAGTTACAATGGTGTTATACCAAAGCCTAAGCAAAACTCTTAAAATACACATTATTGAAAAGATTTGTGATCAAGTTCAATAGCAAAATAGACTGAATATTGACCTTGACTTTTCTAGAAGTACACGCAAAATATAAGACTAGAAATGTAATAAGCATTAGAACCTTTAATTGTGCTAGTTACCTTACAACCAGAACTGAATTTATATTTGATTTGTGAATGAATAACCTCAGAGAATGAGATCATTTATTTTTTCAAAGAATAGGTACAAGATAGGTTGCAGCAGTAGGAACGTCCCTGTCCCTGTCAATATACATCAACGGTAATCTCAAAGGTGATAAACTAGTTTAATCTTAATCCTGTATAGATTAAACCCTTTTTTGAAGCAGACAATTAGGAGTTAATTTTTACTACTTTTAATTATAGGTATATTTATTTTAGAACCTGGGCCAAAACCCCGCTATACATTCTTTGTAGATCACACAAAAGTCACTGGGCCTTTGATCATAAATGATTTGAGATTCACCGCAGTCATCTAGCACTGAAAAGCTATTCAGAAATTTTTGCCATCAATTTTGTATTTTCTTTTCAATTTATATACACAATGCATCTCATAGAAATCCAATCTCATTGCTCTCTTCTTAAACCAAGAACAGTTTGGAGCACTAGAGAAACATCTAGAAGTTGAAAGGGTATGCGGGGAGAGTCACTTCCTATTGCTGTGAAGGTATACATCCTGTTTGTTGGCTAAAGAAGCATTATTAAGAGGCTTCTAAAGGCCTTCATAAAGGCTCCAAAAACCCCTCCATGTTCCTGCTGACAGGGTAGAATTGTCATAATTCATCACATTTGATGGGAGAAGGAGACCACAAAAGAAATCTGGCAAAAGATTTAATAAAGAAATATAAGTATACATAAGTATGAATTCCACTTTTACATGCATTGTGCCTCTTTCACTTTTTGTCTGATCTGTGCAATAGTTTCAATAAATAAAAATGAAATAAACAACTCATAACAATAGGATCATTTTTGTACTATATTTTGGCACTCTTACTGATGGTAAGTAAAAATCTTGATTCCAGTGGGACTGTTGTGTGGATTATGGTATTCCACAAGTGAATACAGGTGGCAGAAGCTTGTTCTTAAAGTAACTGATGCAGAGATGAATTGCTAACAGCCCCCAGAATTTATTATTTTCATGGCAGCTACATTTGGTAAGGTTTTTGATGAGTTATGTGATGTAAAGAATTCATACCTGAAATGAAGCTTTCTCTTGCTTTCATTCCGTCTACATGTTCTAATTGTGCATAATGATTTTCTCCTAATTCTAAGGTTGCCTTTAGCATTTAAGTAGTTTGGAAACATTAATAAAATTAATCGGAATTCTGCAGGGACTGCAGCACCGCTGAGAAGTTTCACAGACTGTCTTGACACGGTAGTTTTTAGACATTTAGGTTTGCACTGCTTTGTAATCCCTCTCCCTCTGTTTTCTAACACACTAGCTGTTCCTACACACACTGCCTGTTCCACAAATCTCATGGTGATCTCTATTCACAGGGAAGTAATATAACCTAGAAATGCAAACACATAACTTAATCTAGATGAGCCACATGTATGCATTGTAATACATTGCGTGCTTTGGAAATGTGATATGGATGTGTAACAGGTGACAAGGTTGTTTGGGTAGATGTGATATGTTTTATTAGACCAATTAAATAGTTGGAAAAATTGTTTTTGCAAGCTTTTGGGTACAAACCAACAACCCTGCAGAGTCCTGCTGGCTGTGACCACGGACTACAAATCCCAGAGGCACCTGGAAGCAGGAAGAGAAAGTGATGAGCAAACCTGCAGAGAACTGCTTCTGTAATTGTGTGGATTGCAAATCCTAGAGATCTCCGGGCAGCAGGAGGACGAGCAAGGCAACGCACAACCACGCTGGCTATGTGCCAGAGAGCCTAGGGTGGATGGAGAGAGAGGAGAGCCGAGAATGGAGTGAAAGGGAAGCCGCGGTACAGCACAGATGAACCACAGACCAACTGCATGTGATCCCCGACCTACAGACCTGCACAGAGTGACTCTGGACTAAAGGCTGGTTCTTGGGGAAGCCTCAGAAGGTGGGGGGGACGTATGTGCTGAATGTATGTACTCCAGGGGTACTGACTACTGCCTGTTTACTTGCCCCTTAAGTGTTAAGTGTATGTTGTTGTACTTCAAATGCCTGTTTACCTGTAGTTATCCCTTCCCATTGGCCTGTGATGCTGATCCCTAGGACGCTCTATATAAAAGTGAGTAAACTCCTTGTTGGCTGTAGTGATTGTGCCTGATACACTGCAGGGGGTTGCCACACACTGAACAGGATGAAGAAGCTGAAGGTGTTCTTGCAGTTCAAATGACCTGTCACTTGCAATTTCATTTTGCCTCGTGGCAAAAAAAAAAAGCCATCCTGACAGATGCAGGTCCCCCACTAAACAGCTTTAAAATGGGTCCCTGCTGTCAGCAGGCTAAGCTGGAGCCTCAATCATTTCACAGAGATGCTGATCAGATTATGGGCTAGGAGTTTTCCAAATGTCTCTTCCTATCAGCAGCCAGGCTCTCCACCCCCTACACACTTGAAGCAGGGGGTTGGACACTAGATGACCTCCTGAGGTCTCTTCCAACCCTCCTTTTCTATGATTTTGTGGAGGAGGGAGTCTTGTTTGATCCGGTTTGTGGGCGGGGGGGGG